AAATATTAATTGTGTAAAGTCGATCAACACTCTCAAGTAATAAATTAAGTCCTTTAGATTTATGGCCAAAGGGGCTGAATTGTAAAGTTTTGGATTGTCCCCAGACGGTACCTGCTCCTTCGTAGTCAAAATGAGACGTACTTTTGGTTTAAGTCTTAAATGGCAAACAGATGTAGATCAGTAGGGTAAAAACATGGATTTGTGTATATTTTAAAGTTAAAGTGAGTTATAAATATGTTTTCTGTCCTGTGTTGAATAACAAATTGGGTATAATGATATGTGTCATTTTAGCCGTTAGAGGAGGTCGTTTTGTATTTCGATTTATCAGAAACAGTGAATATGTACAGCGGCGGGTGGAATAATAAAGATTAAGAAGGGTCGATTCTATTTGTACATATCCACTCACCTTTAGCGGAAGTAATCGGTATATTTGTTAGTTATTCACCTTTTATTTAATAAAGAAACTTGAAAAATTGGAAAAATTGGAAAAATTGGAAAAATTGGGAAAAATTGGAAAAATTGGAAAAATTTGAAAAATTGAAAAAAATTGAAAAAATTTAAAAAATTGGAAAAATTGGAAAAATGGAGAAATTGGAAAAATTGTAAAATCAGAAAAATTGAAAAAATTGTAAAATCAGAAAAATTGAAAAAATTGTAAAAATTGTAAAAATTGGAAAAATTGAAAAATCTGAAATTCGAAAATTCTGAAATTGGAAAAAAATGGAAAAATTGGAAAAATGGAAAAAATGGAAAAAAATTGGAAAAATCGGAAAAAATTGGAAAAAATTGAAAAAAATTGGAAGAAATTGTAAAAAATTTGAAAAATTGGAAAAATTGGAATCAGAAAAATTGAAAAAATTGAAAAAATTGAAAAAACTGAAATTGGAAAAATCTGAAATTCGAAAAATCTGAAATTGGAAAAATTGAAAAATCGAAAAATCAGAAATTCGAAAAATTACCTTTTATTTAATAAAGAAACTTGAAAAATTGGAAAAATTGGAAAAATTGAATAAATTGAAAAAAATTGAAAAAATTTAAAAAATTGGAAAAATGGAGAAATTGGAAAAATTGAAAAAATTGAAAAAATTGAAAAAATTGAAAAAATTGAAAAAATTGAAAAAATTGAAATTCGAAAATTCTGAAATTGGAAAAAAAAATGGAAAAATGAAAAAATGGAAAAATTTGAAAAATTGGAGAAATTTGAAAAAATTGAAAAAATTGAAAAAATTGAAATTCGAAAATTCTGAAATTGGAAAAAATGAAAAAATTGAAAAATCGAAAAATTGGAAAAATTGGAAAAATTGAAAAAATTGGAGAAATTTGAAAAATTTGAGAAATTGGAAAAATCGGAAAAATTGAAAAAATTGAATAAATTGAAAAAATTGTATAAATTGAAAAAATTGAATAAATTGAAAAAATTGAATAAATTGAAAAAATTGAATAAATTGAAAAAATTGGAAAAATTGAAATTCGAAAATTCTGAAATTGGAAAAAAAATGGAAAAATGGAAAAATGAAAAAATGGGAAAATTGGAAAAATTGGAGAAATTGGAAAAATTGGAAAAATTGGAAAAATTGGAAAAATTGAAAAAATTGAAAAAATTGAAATTCGAAAATTCTGAAATTGGAAAAAATGAAAAAATTGGAGAAATTTGAAAAATTGGAGAAATTGGAAAAATCGGAAAAAATTGGAAAAATTGGAAAAATTGAAAAAATTGAAAAAATTGAATAAATTGAAAAAATTGGAAAAATTGAAATTCGAAAATTCTGAAATTGGAAAAAATGGAAAAATTGAAAAATCGAAAAATTGGAGAAATTGGAAAAATTGGAAAAATTGGAAAAATTGGAAAAATTGGAAAAATTGGAAAAATTGGAAAAATTGGAAAAATTGGAAAAATTGGAAAAATTGGAAAAATTGGAAAAATTGGAAAAATTGGAAAAATTGGAAAAATTGGAAAAATTGGAAAAATTGGAAAAATTTGAAAAATTGAATAAATTGAAAAAAATTGAAAAAATTTAAAAAATTGGAAAAATTGAAAAAATTGAAAAAATTGGAAAAATGGAGAAATTGGAAAAATTGTAAAATCAGAAAAATTGAAAAAATTGTAAAATCAGAAAAATTGAAAAAATTGTAAAAATTGTAAAAATTGGAAAAATTGAAAAATCTGAAATTCGAAAATTCTGAAATTGGAAAAAAATGGAAAAATTGGAAAAATGGAAAAAATGGAAAAAATTGGAAAAATCGGAAAAAATTGGAAAAAATTGAAAAAAATTGGAAGAAATTGTAAAAAATTTGAAAAATTGGAAAAATTGGAATCAGAAAAATTGAAAAAATTGAAAAAATTGAAAAAATTGAAAAAAACTGAAATTGGAAAAATCTGAAATTCGAAAAATCTGAAATTGGAAAAATTGAAAAATCGAAAAATCAGAAATTCGAAAAATTACCTTTTATTTAATAAAGAAACTTGAAAAATTGGAAAAAATTGGAAAAATTGAATAAATTGAAAAAAATTGAAAAAATTTAAAAAATTGGAAAAATGGAGAAATTGGAAAAATTGAAAAAATTAAAAAAATTGAAAAAACTGAAAAAACTGAAAAAATTGAAAAAATTGAAAAAATTGAAAAAATTGAAATTCGAAAATTCTGAAATTGGAAAAAAAAAATGGAAAAATGAAAAAATGGAAAAATTTGAAAAATTAAAGAAATTTGAAAAAATTGAAAAAATTGAAAAAATTGAAATTCGAAAATTCTGAAATTGGAAAAAATGAAAAAATTGAAAAATCGAAAAATTGGAAAAATTGGAAAAATTGAAAAAATTGGAGAAATTTGAAAAATTTGAGAAATTGGAAAAATCGGAAAAATTGAAAAAATTGAATAAATTGAAAAAATTGAATAAATTGAAAAAATTGAATAAATTGAAAAAATTGGAAAAATTGGAAAAATTGAAATTCGAAAATTCTGAAATTGGAAAAAAAATGGAAAAATGAAAAAATGGGAAAATTGGAAAAATTGGAGAAATTGGAAAAATTGGAAAAATTGGAAAAATTGGAAAAATTGAAAAAATTGAAAAAATTGAAATTCGAAAATTCTGAAATTGGAAAAAATGAAAAAATTGGAGAAATTTGAAAAATTGGAGAAATTGGAAAAATCGGAAAAATTGGAAAAATTGGAAAAATTGAAAAAATTGAAAAAATTGAATAAATTGAAAAAATTGGAAAAATTGAAATTCGAAAATTCTGAAATTGGAAAAAATGGAAAAATTGAAAAATCGAAAAATTGGAGAAATTGGAGAAATTGGAAAAATTGGAAAAATTGGAAAAATTGGAAAAATTTGAAAAATTGAATAAATTGAAAAAAATTGAAAAAATTTAAAAAATTGGAAAAATTGAAAAAATTGGAAAAATGGAGAAATTGGAAAAATTGTAAAATCAGAAAAATTGAAAAAATTGTAAAAATTGTAAAAATTGAAAAAATTGAAAAATCTGAAATTCGAAAATTCTGAAATTGGAAAAAAATGGAAAAATTGGAAAAATGGAAAAAATGGAAAAAATTGGAAAAATCGGAAAAAATTGGAAAAAATTGAAAAAAATTGGAAGAAATTGTAAAAAATTTGAAAAATTGGAAAAATTGGAATCAGAAAAATTGAAAAAATTGAAAAAATTGAAAAAACTGAAATTGGAAAAATCTGAAATTCGAAAAATCTGAAATTGGAAAAATTGAAAAATCGAAAAATCAGAAATTCGAAAAATTACCTTTTATTTAATAAAGAAAATTGGAAAAATTGAATAAATTGAAAAAAATTGAAAAAATTTAAAAAATTGGAAAAATTGGAAAAATTGGAAAAATTGGAAAAATGGAGAAATTGGAAAAATTGTAAAATCAGAAAAATTGAAAAAATTGTAAAAATTGTATAAATTGTAAAAATTTGAAAAATTGGAAAAAATTGAAAAATCTGAAATTGAAAAAATTGGAAAAAATTGGAGAAATTGTAAAAATTAAAAAATCTGAAATTCGAAAAATTGAAAAAATTTGAAAAATTGTAAAAATTGGAAAAATTGAAAAAATTGTAAAAATTAAAAAATCTGAAATTCGAAAAATCTCAAATTGGAAAAATTGAAAAATCTGAAATTCGATAATTCTGAAATTGGAAAAAAATGGAAAAATTGAAAAATTGGAAAAATGGAAAAAATTGGAAAAAATTGGAAAAAATTGAAAAAAATTGGAAGAAATTGGAAAAAATTTGAAAAATTGGAAAAATTGGAATCAGAAAAATTGAAAAAATTGAAAAAACTGAAATTGGAAAAATTGGAAAAATTGAAAAATCGAAAAATCAGAAATTCGAAAAATTACCTTTTATTTAATAAAGAAACTTGAAAAATTGGAGGAATTGGAAAAATTGGAAAAATTGGAGAAATTGAAAAAATTGAAAAAATTGGAAAAATTGAATAAATTGAAAAAAAAGAAAAAATTGGAAAAATTGAAAAAAATTGAAAAATCTGAAATTCGAAAATTCTGAAATTAGAAAAAATGGAAAAATTGAAAAATCGAAAAATTGGAAAAATTAAACAATGAAATTCACTCATATAATACCCGCCATAATGATGACATTCATGCATACTTCTCAAAACTGAGAGTGAGTCAGAATTCTCCCAATTATATAAAGTTAAATGTTTCAAATAAAATGAAAACGCTTATTAACTCACTCGGCCCAAGGAACAGCATAAAGAATAAAATTATTAACTTCCTTCTTCCTTTGCAATAACACATTTTACAATATTGCAGAGTTCCTCAATTCTTGAACTACACAATGAAGGTTTCAAAATCGGTTCATTTTCTAAATTTTAAATTGTATATTTCTTTTCAAATGTTTACTATTTTTTTTAAGTTAATTATTTAATATTGTTTAAACTTGACTAGCCAGATAAGTGACTTTCACTATGTGAATATCCTTTTATGGTAAATAAACTAATTTTATTTGATATAGTACAATTGAAAACTTACCCATAGTCAAAGGATTGACATCCAATAAGACGATAGCATCAGTGGCTTCTTCTCCGGATAATACACCGGCTTGAACGGCAGCACCATAGGCGACAGCTTCGTCGGGATTGATTCCTCTCGATGGCTCTTTACCGCCAAAATATTCTTTAACGAGTTGCTGGACTTTGGGAATACGAGTAGACCCTCCTACCAAAACGATTTCATCGACATCTTTTTTGTTCATATCGGCATCTTCGAGGACCTTCTGGACGGGTTTCATGGTGGAACGGAATAGATCCTACGAAAATAACCAAAAAATGTATTCATCAAAAAAATAACAACAAATAATTAGAAATAAATATATATTTAATCAGTTCGCCGGTAAAGTGTCAATCAGGTTTAAATATCAGACCCGAAAGATGAAAAAAAGTCATCATATTAATTTAATAATTTTTCTTAAAATTAGAATATATTTCATTTGATTTACCATGTTCAATTCTTCGAATTTAGCTCTGGTGAGAGTTTCTGAGAAATCGTCTCCTTCGAAGAACGATTCAATTTCAATCCTGACTTGGTGACTGGAGGAAAGAGCCCTCTTCGCCTTTTCCACTTCTCTTCTCAATTTCTGTACAGCTCTGTTGTCCTTTCTGATGTCCTTACCCTTCTTTTTCTTGTACAATTTGATGAAATGATCCATGACTCTTTGATCGAAATCTTCTCCACCAAGATGCGTGTCTCCGTTGGTAGCGACTACTTCAAAGACGCCATTATCGATGGTAAGAAGAGATACATCGAA